TCTTCTGTTAATCCTCACAAAAAACTATCAACCTGTCACCAGTTACGACTGGCTCAAAATTAGTTCACCTTGAAATGGAAACTCGACAATATGGCTCTTTGCCAAACAAGATCGTAAGAATTTAAAACATTCCTAGGTTTTGTTCTTCAACAAACCGGATCGGGTTCCAGACAGTTACCTGGTGCTCTCGGTTAATGGAAGGCAGTCGCTACACTCAAAATACTCGAGGAGGCTGCGAAACTTTAACCAGTTTAGTCTTACTTGGGACTCTTCCAAGGTTACGTGAGATGCTGAAATGCGATTTCAATTCGCCTTGCGTCAGCAAAGCTCCTTTTGAGGATACAGACAGAGTGTACTACAATGGTCCTTCGTAAGACGTTTTGAGCTAAGTTTAAAACGGGTGTTTTTTTACAAATTGTGCAGATCTGTATGGATCAATCTGAAGGTGCTTCTTATCAAAACAATATTCAGAAACTTCAATGTGTTATCATTCTTCATAAAATTAACGATGGATTACAAAATAAGCAACACTGATATCTACACAATCTTGGACGATATTTATTTTCAGCTGTCCATGGTTTTGATTAAACACCAACTTTATTAATTATACACATCACGTGCGCATCTTGATGGCATTAAAGTAGGTTGAAGAAAACATGTAAGAGTTTCTGAAAGTAGCAGTCGCCATGACTACCGTTTTTATTAATTTTTACAACCACAGAGCGCCGTTGGTGGGCGTTTGGGGTTTGTTGGAGGCATACAGATATACAGTATCACATATCTTCCTCTCGTGCGGGTTATCATGATAATCCAGCGCACCCAGGCAATCCTTCACGTACACCATCCCGCCAGTATCATATTACAGCAACGAACATCTGTATTTGGTGAAAGTTTTTTACAGGACTCGCAAATATACAGTTACCTTCGTCGTAAACGAGTTATTACATCTCACCTCGTATCCTGATGAGACCACGGAAGGGAATCGTGATAACTTTCATATAGGCACGGACTCGTGTTAATCTGTGTCTAGCCTTGCTCCAGGCTGTACTGAATGCTGAGCTCATGAATATATATAATTCCATCCCTCGAAGAGGCAAGTCTAGATAAGCGGACAGTACATCTTAGGACTCCAGGCTGATATTTATTATTGTTTAGAAATTATTATACAAACTATTAACTTTTACCTTAGAGACTTTTGCAAGTCTAATCTGTCATGAAAACTTCCGGGAAAATAACTGACATATATTTACATCACTATACCACAAATATATTATGGATTTATATACGTATGCATAGCGTATACGTACGTATTTGCACTATTTGGAAATTGGTTTAATGAATCCTAATTTGCATATGTAGGAGAACTGATGAAGACGAGGACAATAGGCTCTATGGCTGTGTGTAGTACCTGTAATTCACATTCACGGTGTATTAGTTTCAGCAGCTGATGCCTAAGCACCTATGTAACCCGATGCAAATCTACATGAGAGTAATCTTTAAAAAAACAATTAATGCAACATCTGCACATAATTCTCTTTTCATTCGCAAAGAAACGAAAACGATAAAGGTGATCAAAACATCAACAGGTTATTGAAAACAATTCATAACATCTTCACAACGCACATAATTATTGCAAAACATATAGGCGCTGTATCCGCTAGAGTTGAAAGAAACGTTCATCACGCGTTGAGAGGCGCCATGCCATGATCGACCTCACAATAAACACCATCATCAACATTTTTGGTAACAGCTTAATGTACGCTTCATTATATGACACCCTCGGTGGTAAGCATACAAGAAATGCCTGTCATCCATATCGTGCATACCCTGACAGTCGGGGTGGCATCTGTGTGATGGGAGTCAGCGAACGTGAAGATTAATCGCCTCAAACAACATGGCTGCTTGCTGCTGATAAAGATGAAGACGAGGCACAGACTGGCTCTAATTGTCTCCGCGCTGTCGTGAATGAGGATACTGTCTACATGGAGTGGATGAATGAAACATTACTGTAACGTTGATGGTAAATGCACACATATGAGCAGACAAAGAACAGGGACGATTAAATCTATTTGTGGTTACATTGGATTTGCATTTCATTTGGTTCCTTCAGTTTGGGAGTGGATAAAGAAGTATAAATGAAAAGTCTGTATCTTAGGGCTACGGAGTTTGGCAAGCTACAAGAGCGAAATACGAAACGATCAATGTATATGAATGACATCCCTTTACCTAATACACCTTTTACAACGTTCGGAATTATCCTGGAAAGGAAGAAGTTAGTCTTCGGTTGAAATTCAATTGGACATGTTATACTTTCTATAGTCTACTCTAAGAGTTATGAGTGAGATAAATTGAACCTCTCATGGACAGTATTTAAGCCATATCGTGTTTGTAGAGCTTTTTTATTAATCCCGCAAATAGTTATACGACATAAAAGTCTGTTTGTAAAGATCAGTAAAATGACTAGAACATCACAGACATATAGAACTATTATGGGACTAAATCGATGATGGCTCTATGCATGATTATGTATAAATTGACATAGACAATGGTTCACCATTAAACAATATTCGGCCATCTCACTGGGGAACAAACCCGTGAAGATCCGGGATAGAAATGATATTCAGTAACCCATGCTTGTCGTAAGAGGCGACGAACGGGACGGGCGACGGGTGGTCAGGTTCGCTGACTTGGTTGCCACAATTGTATCCCATTTGCATAGATCGATGTTCATGCTGTTGGTCACTGGATTATCTGGTCCAGACTCGATAATTTACAAACCGCCACCATATAGCTGGAATATTGCTGAGTACGGCGTAAAACTAAACTCATTCACACTCTAGGGAACGCATAGTACATTTACTACTTTCATTTCTCAGCAGGATTTACCCCATCCCGCTGGTTGCTGGCGATTATCAGGAAGTTCAGCAAAATCAAAACTCGCAATTATACTACGATTAGGAAAGGAGGAATAAACGTGCTTTGAACGGATTGCTCTCAGGTTGAGAATCATTATCCGTTTCTTTAAGCCTATTTAACTATAACGACTATGAGTACCAATAAATGGTTTCTAAACGTATAATCATCAGTATTTTTACATGCATTATTAGTGAAGAAAAGACAAAACCGGTCACAGTGAAGATGGGGAACAACACCTCCACTGTGGATCGCCTGTTGTATCGTTTCAGTCAGCTTCTTGACACGGAAATCTAAACCTCCGCCTGTACAACCTTGCGAAACCATTATCTCCTTCCAAACCAAATAATTGCTATAACCTATGCGTCCCGAGTCCATTAAATACATTTGAATGTGGAGTACTACGTGATTAGTTCTGCACATTGCCCAAACATCAGAGAGTCATGTTCGACATTTCTGGATGGACGTACTGGATGTCCAGTGTCAAGTCGGACCATGGTCAATGGAGGTGCATTGACCCGTGCCATGGCAGTTATTGAAGTGATTTATGTTTGACCGCTTGATTTCAAATATAGCTAGGTGCAGCAAGCTAAACACGAATCTGCTTCCAAGCGTGTATGCATTCTCTTATGACATACTGCGAAAAGACATTATACAGCTATTTCTGTAATTTGTCTGTCAGCCTGTCCGTATGTTTGTCCCTCTTTGTCCACTTTGTCCACCTCTATGTGCTATATTAGTATCAAACTGTCTTTCCGATCACATTCTCTCAACCTCTCTTTCTTTTTTGTCTTCCTGTTTCTCTCTATGGGACTCTCCCTCTCTCTCTCCCCCTATCTCTCTGTGAGTCTTGTCGCTCAAGAATTTACCTATCTCCCCTCCTCTCGCTCTGTAACACACTCTCGTTTTATACCCCATTAATATATCGTTCTATATGACACTTTCTTTGTTTTGCTACCTAGAATATTCCATTCTCTTGCCCCCATCCCAATTCTTTCTCTGTCCATACCTCTCTCGTATAGCACAGGCGATGAAAGTAGTTCATGTACATCTGGCTAGGCAGGGATTGATAAAACAGAAATGTGATATAATATCTACCTATTTCTTTACCAATTCCACAGAAGAATCGATGTTTGAAATGCTTACCATTTTAAACACACATTTAGTTTGTCGATGAGCAAGACCGAACATTTATTGACGTCACATGTAACCTGCAGCCAGTAAATCAGTGTCATAGTAGTTAGTTCATGCCCAAATATACACGTAACCGGTGGCGGCACGTGACTCGTGACGTCATTCAACTTCTAAGGCATTCCGACATTGCGGAAATGTTCACGTAAACACATTATGAAATGGAGAACAAAACTGTATGATAAGCAGTTTTTTTTCTCACGAACCATCTTCCTCTAGTTAGTTGTAATCAGTACACTCTCCGCGATTAAGATAACAAGATCTTGACACTGGTTCATGTATGTACAATGGAAGTTACTGATACGTTGTTTCTTCAAATTAATGGGTTTTGCAAACAGTACAACTTTCAAAAGTAGTGGTTATACTTCTAGGTGTGTATAATAAAAACAAACTATCAACAAAAACGACAAAAAGATCCCATTTCCACAAAACCGCATTTCCTATGGAATCAAAATGTTATCTCTATAGATTAATTATCGCAGATAAAACGTGATAATCACCCGTTTGAGCCAAGATGGTTTATCACTTCAACGTACGGTTACTCTAACCTTCTCAGTACTCCCTAGAAACCTTATCTAGAAGTAGCGAAGCCACTTTTCCGATCCCCCTACTTAATGCAATTCAACTTTCTAACACGACAGATTCATTCCTTCAATAACCTATCTTCAAATAAAAGCACATAGCAAAGAAACACTGGCATTTTGAATCTAATTAACTTCCCGACCAAAAATCGATTTATTCTGCCATGTCTTACACAAACAGCTGAGTAGGTGAGAAATGGGATAGTCGTGCTTGTCTTGCAAATTTCCGGATTCTTAAACGTGAAATAAAACATATGGAAAGAGAGGTCCGCTTTAAAGTTGCTTTATACATTGAGAAAGTTAAATTGCACTTACTCTCATTTGTGCATCCCTGGCACAGCCAGCTCTAGGTGCTCGGAGTCCCGACATCGTTAGTTTAAATCCAGCTGAGGGAATATACTGACTAGCTTTTAACAGAGCACAGACCCCTATGCTGTCGCTCCTTTAGATCTCCCACCGATTGCCCATATCAAATTACGCCTCAGTCAAACGAGTGCCGTAATTTGCATACCACGTGACGCGTTCAAATGATGTGATTGGCTGCATCGTGATTCACCATTCCTTGTGGCTCTGGGACTATACTTCCCTAAAGCATCTCCAAGTTTGGTAAGCCCCAACACATACTATGCTCTCCGAGCGGCACAAAACAGTACATTCTTTTGTGTAGAATGCCCAAGCGAAAAAGCCGGCTTCAAATTAGAACATCTCTTTAATCTATTTCCAGCACAAGCTGAAACGTTTACGTCTATGAGTTCAGGCTTGTAAGCGCACTTGGTTCAACGGGCCAGTTAGCAAAGTTTCATCTCGCCTCTGACTACTTCCGTATTGAGACAGGGAAATGCTGAGTTAAGACTTCGAGGTCAGATTTGCTTATACCAGGCTGTGAAATCCCTGGATGTATATTCCGTGGTTTCCTTCTTCAGCAGCCTACAGTGAAAGAATGCGGAAATGGTAGCCGCAAATGTGTAGGGGAGAAGTTCAAAACTACATCCGATAAAAGCTTAGCAAAGCGACTTTGTTCATGAAGAAACGTCCGATTAAATATCACTAGTGGTTATATATACTTTATGAATCATCGTGTTTGAACAGTGGTTTTGCGGTAAACAAGAGGAAATATACAGATGCAAGTTAATGTATCACTGGGCGATTGTATTCATATCTCGTAGCATTGTTAGAAAATGAATTAGTGAAGATAGTTGATAATGTATACATGATAAGACTACGAGACTGTAGAACTTTGCGCATGCACTTGGGGATGCTCAACAAGAAATTCAATGTAACTTGATACGTGAAGATTGCATCACGAACGTAATAGCCTTGCAGCTAGCAAATGAAAACGCTATACACATTTGCTGCTTGTTGATAAGATTGTAGCCTGTAATGGTATGGACATATCTTCAACGCACGCTGTATTCTCAGGTGAGAGGATACGTTATAAACTGTCAATTGCAGAGTAATGGACTGACAGCTACTCTGTGAAATATAGATATCAAAAAGAGATTTCATTGAGAAATGGAAACTTATTTCAACAGATGTTTGATTTAACATTGCAGGGTGAGTTTTTAAGTCATCATGATACGGTTGAGTCACAACTGGTCGTGATGTTTTGATTAAGACGTCGTCTGTGCATCATGTTTCATGAAGATGATTTTGAATGCAGTTTTATATTTTACATAAGAAGAAACAGGTGCCAACAGGTAAATTTCATCACTTCCATCACATTCCGCAGGCAAGTACGTGCACGGGTGTAACATTATTCCGTCTGGCCTCGGCGTATCTCGGGGTAACTTAAATATGGACAATTGAACAACCAGCCCAATACAAACCATCCACATCACAGAAAACCTGCGGGTAAGAATAGGTCTTCAGTACCATTCGTGGCGACTCATTGAATAGAGTGGTCTAGGCTCAATCATCTATATAGCTGGAGTACTGTTGGTGCGGCGGTGTACAACTAATACATCACCTACATGACATATGTACCAGAAGTAAACAATCTCTTGTCACGTCGCAGTCCCGGGTTCGATTCCCAACAAGGGTACATTGCGTGCAGCTCATTCACGTCGTCCCCGCCGTAATATTAATATTGCTGGAATAGTGCTACGAGCGACGTAAAACCACATTCACGCACAGTAAGGAATGTAATGAATAGCTCCGGTCCATTAACATTAAAAACTGTCCAGTCGGGACTCATTCTAAATTTAAAGCAAATAATTAGTAATAAGAATACACACATCTGTTCATGTATTGCTTATTATATTTAAAAATGTACAGCCAAAAGACGTAATAAGCCAGATCCTGGGAGGCAAAACCTATGGTTTATTGTGCAAATACAGCACTATCTGTTGCAAACATTTGAAACCCTGATGGAAACAAAGATATCATGGAAAACAACGAACGTTATAAAAAACAAGATATTGTATTTGAGTACACATGTGTGAACAGTTTACATGATATGTTTATTTGTGTGAGAGGCATTCTAGAAGTTGTAAGTGATAGGAATGACAAGTGTTTATGGATGATCAACTACAATAGCGACGTTTCGGTATAGATACTTTTACCGTTTTCAAGCATGTGGTTGTAAATACATACAGCAATATATATGTTTACCGTATGGAGAACGTTTTTCTTTGTAATAGCGTGTTTGGTATAGCTTGCCTTGTACAAACGCAAGAAAGTAAATTCAGGACCATTATTTAGGTTTTAAGTTGCCTTTTGTTGCATGAGTGAGTATACCTTTACGACTCTTTAAGCAATATTCCAAAAATATAGCAGGAGTTTATACTAGAAATATGCTTCACACATTCTAACAATACTGAGATTTGAACTTGGGGCTTCGTGGTAATGGGCGAACACTTTTACCATTGACTAATTGAGCTACTCCACCGCCATTTATTTTCGTTGGTAAAGACCAACAGTTTTATATTAGAGCATCTGTGAATCTATTGATGCATCGTAATATCTCAAATGGCATATATACATACACGATCACGTTTCTGGCGTTCTCAGAGGATGCAACTCTGAAACTATGACCCAAAGCAGCCGCAGAACAAACAGATCTTCTGTTAGCCTGGCCTCGGGATACAATAAGGCTTATATGACTCGGCATCCTCCTTTCGTACAGTGTGTATCGAGACACGGATACACATAGAACATGAGGTTACCCTATAAATGTGAATGAAAGTGTAACTGCATGAACAAAGCCTCTCCAACAGACCGCAGTCAGGTTGAAGTACAACCATAGAACCGGAAGTTGATGATAAGCCACTTAAGATTATATTGGCCATGACTTCGCTACGCAAGTTCAACGCTCCCGACATTATTACCTTGGTCAACGGATGAGTAATATATATTCAAATGGCATTTTCAAAGAAAGAAGACAGAGCATATAACACCTGTTCTGATGACATTGCACTGGTTACCCATCCGACAACGTATCCATTACAAAATATTGGTATTGATGTTCAAAGCCTTGCACAACACGGCACCAGTTTATCTCTCAGACCTTGTGCAAGAATATCAACCAACACGCCATCTGAGGTCATCACAACAACACATGTGCCGGACTGTAGTCAGCCGGACCAAGACATTTCGTGAAAGGTCTTTTCAGGTTATCGGCCCAGCTTTGTGCAACAAATTACCCTCTCTCTTCGATCAGTACAGACATTCAGTACTTTCAAATCCAGATTAAAAACTCCTTTGTTCAGCATTGCATACGGAGTTCAGCAGCGCTCTTGAGCAGTCTTCTCAAGACTGGATATTAGCGCTATATAAATGTATATCAATGTAATGTAATGTAATTTTCAGCTTCGTGAGGAGTATGGACTTACCAGTAAGTCGCTAGAAGGTATTGTTTTGTTCGTGGAGATATCACTTGTCCCAGTTAATGTTACATTTACGCTTACTTCGTCGAGAGATTGTCGGTCTTACTTAATGGTCGTTAATTATTGGTACATATATTATGTCAGAGGATTTGTTTTGCATGCTTAGCCTTTTCGCCATCACCTGGTTTACCCTTATCTACGCTGGTCCATTCATATGATTTTCACATCTATTTTGACATTTACGCCAAATAGAATCTTGGATTGCCAAGTCTGGTTATTCATCTGCATTAACTTTTTATATTTAGCTATTAGTTACTGTTACGTTCAAGATGAATTTTCGCGAAGAGGTTGACCCGTAAAATCCGGGTTAGAACTGATCTTCAGCATCCCATGCTTGTTGTAAGAGGCGACTAACGGGATCGGGTGGCCAGGCTCGCTGACTTGGTTGACACCTGTCATCCAATCCTAATTGCGAAGATCGATGATGATGCTGTTGATCACTGGATGGTCTGGTCGTGACTCGATTATTTACAGACCGCCGCCATATAGCTGGGATATTGCTGAGTGCGGCGTAAAACAACAGACCAACAATACAGAAACATCATGACGTGAAACAATCTTTTAGCTTAGCAATTGTTTCAGATATTTGGGTCGAACGCTTCAAAGTGTCGGACACATACAAAACCATCTGATATAATAGAATAGTATTAAACGGCAGAATATTTTAAGAACTCACTGTCGGTCTTTTTCAGGTTCATCACTAAAGTCATCTCTATATATGTACAGACACATAGCACAATACACGCTGTTAGGTATGCTGACTGACTGCACTAAGCTATCCCCCAGGGCCACTCAGTGATCAACAACCTCCATCTCGTAGAGACTTGGGCTAACTTTATGGCGTTTGTCTAACAGGTACTGGAACAATACTTATCTCGGAGCTCCAGATAAACACGTTCATGATATATCACCTTGCTGAACTAGCAGCTTATTTTGACGAAGATGTATTTGTTCATAGGGTTATGTTTTTGTTGTAAGTACAGGGAAAGAATAAGTGAGCGACTGAGGCTATATCACTCCGGGAGAAAAAAAACGAGCTTCACACATACCGCCCATGTGGGGAAGCGAACACGGGTCATCAGCATGACGAGCGGACACTTCATCCACTGGCCGACCCAACCGCCCATCTTACCAAGACTAATGTTCTGTATGCCTGAACAAAATGTTCCACTTTTGGATAACCCTGAAGCAGATTGGATATCTAAGTCAGATTGAGAGAGGTGAGATTCTGAGGTAGATAGAGAATGAGGGAGAGAGAAGGAAAGAGTGGGGGAGGGTGACGGACTGACATACAGAGAGAGGTGATTTCTAGGGGAGATCGACTCCGGAAACAGAAATATCTCCGACTGTGTGATGTCGCATGGCAGAATATCTCAAAACAACACATACACGCTTGGCACCAAATTCCTATTCAGTTTGGTTTTGTCTATTTCTACAAGGCTGTCAGTGGTATAAACGTATCGGGTCACACAATGTTTTATGCAGCACATCCCACCATGTGTCCTTCAGAAACATGAGTGATCTCATAGCCCTCGCTAATGATATCACCAATGTTCGGACGAGACATGGGCGCCTGTGGACTTCAGCGG